CTTAAAAGACCCTGGTCAGGGAGTAATATAGTATATTCATGTTTGTACATCCTTTCAAAAAGCATTTTAAATCTACAATCACTTTAACTTGGTTCTAAAGGGATTGGCTTTATTCAAATTTTCTGTGGAAATAATCTTATAACTAACATATGTATTTATAAAAAGTAATGCTGTCTAGTGCTCTTTGGTATTCACCCAAAGGAGTTGAAAACTTACGTCCACACAAAAATCTGCACGTGGATGTTTATAACAACGTTACTCATAATTGCCCAAACTTGGAAGCAGCCAACATACCCGTCAGTAGGTAAAGAAATAAACTGTGGTCCACCGGGACAATGAAATATTATGGGGTGCTAAAAAGAAATGAGGTGTCTAGCCAGGAGAAGACGGGAAGGAATCTCAAGTGTATATTACTGAGTAAAAGAATACAACCCGAAAAGTCAACATACTGTATGATTCCCATTATATAACATTCTGGAAACAGCAAAACTATGGAGACAGGGGGAAGAGCAGTAGTGACTGAGGATATGGAGGCTGGCAGGGAGCAAGGGGGACGAATAGAAAGAGGACAGGGGATGTCCCGAGCAGTGAAAATACTCTGTATGATGCCATAAAGATGTCTCCATGTCATGTTACATCTGTCCAAACACGCAGACTGAACACCACCAAGAGTGAACCCTAACGTAAACTATGGACTTCGGGTGATTTTGATGTGTCCGTGTAGGGTTGTCCATTGTAACAAGTGTACCTCTCGGATGTGTGATGTTGATAATGAGGGAAGCTGTGTGAGTGTGGGGCAGGGGCTACACAGGAGGTCTCTTGTGTTTTCTTCTCAATTTTGCAGTGAACCTCAAACATCTGTAAAAAACAAAGTGTTACAAAAAAGTAACACCGCCTTAAGCTGCTGGATCTACTGCGTGACAGCCAAGAACAGAGTAGTTTTGGGGTCCATGTGGTCTTACATAGAGTGAGGGTCATCAGGGAGAACCCCAAGCACACTGCCAAGGAAGGTCTAATTATTGAAATGTTTTCTTCTTCAGTAAAGAAAGCCTGGAACTACTTCGTAAAAGCTTGGTACTACTTAGTGGAAGTAAACACATGAAAAATAAAACATAAGTACTGAGAAGCATCCCTGTGAGATTTTTTTTTTTTGATGTGATGTGGTGGAAAAAAAAAAATCCTTTATTTAGGGTCAGTGGTTTCTAGACCAGATTCTATGGCTTGTTAGACACATGGATTTGGGCGGGTCTTGAGTCCAACCTCCATCAGCTTCAGTCTCTTCCTTTCAAAAAACGCAGATGGTAGCAAATACCAAGACTGCTTTCAGATATTTTTGCACGAAGTAAATGTGCTAAAGGCTATGAAAACATGCTATAAATGTAAATATCGTGGTAATGTAAGGTATTATTATTGTTATGAAAGGCTTAAAAAAATTCTCCCTGTGACTTCTGGATGCCTTCAGCCTACTCTGGCCTTAGGCTTTACACCCCTGCAAAATGACTTATTCAGACAATGTTAACAATTCTTGGTCAATGGCATCCTTTGAGTTTCAGTTTGAGATCAAGAGATGTTGATGGCTTATATATGTTATACCCGATTTTTTTTTAAAGATTTTATTTGTTTATTTGATAGAGATGGCACAAGTAGGGAGAGCAGCAGGCAGAAGGAGAAGCTGTCTCCCTGCTGAGCAGGGAGCCCAATGTGTGGGACTCCAACCCAGGACCCCGGGATCCTGACCTAAGCCGAAGGCAGATGCTTAACCGTCTGAGCTACCAGGTGCCCTTACCTGAAATTTTTATATAGCTTGAAAGTATTGTGTAAAATAACAGTAGCAAGTTAGGGAAAGTATTTCTAGAATAAATATAAACATTAATGAGATGCAATTTCATGGCTGAGTGCAGTTTCTATGATTAATTACAAGCAATCAAGATTAAGTGATACACCGCCAGTGAACACGATAACTTATCACTAGAAGAATGTAAAGAACATTCCTGTGCCTGAACGTTCTAAAAACAATAGCTCATACAATGTTTTCTCATGGATTAGACCAGCTCATCCCTATAGCAATCATTTGAAGAAGCAGTGATTATTCTCCATTTATTAAGTGAGTCTGAAGTCTATTGATATCAAATGAAAACCCAGGAAGTCACAATTTAGAGATTAAAGGAGCTGGTACTAAAACCTAGGTCTTTGAATATTAAGTCCAGTGATCTTAAACACAAACACAAACATGTTGAAGTGTTAGCCCAGTGAAGGACGGCCCCAGTTCCAAGAAGCCCTGAGTAGGAGGATGGGTAATACCTAGCACCTGTGTTGCATTCAGACCACGTGAGGCTGTGAACACGGACAGGGAAAAGTGCCAGTGGGAGTTACTTTGTAAATTCAATGATACTTACACATTTTGATAATATTTGGGGGGCAAGATTCACATATTGTAGTTGACCATCTTCAGAAATATTATTTGTGTTCCCTACCACAGTTTGACTTGAGCTCAGTTCCATATAAAATATTCTTTTGAAGGTTAATGAGCAAGTCCCATATTACTGTCATAAACAATGAATCTGAACAAGTTTCTAAGACTGAAATAAAATTGTGAATATCATTTCACTCAGGTTTATTTGAATGTAGTAAGTCTGTTGTAATGTCTGGTACTACATACTAAGTAGGTTAAGTACGAAGCAGTAAAAATTTATGTTTTGCCTGATATTTTAAATCCTAACAGATATCATCTATGGATTGATTATAAGGCTCAATTTAGTAGTTTGCCTGTAACATACATGCTACCAGTACACGCCTTTAAACAATGGTTTCAGCTCCTATAGTGTTTCTCCTATAAAGGTCTACTTAAAAAAATCTATTCGCATGAAAACCTGACATGGAAACCATTTGTTTAAATTCTACTAGGGGGGAACACTTCATTATTACTCTGAATTGGATATCTGTCATTTGTCAAGGTTTGCATATATCACATGACCTTCAGGACGCTCTGATAGAGCAAAAATCAGACATACCCTTGGCAGAAGGGCACGCAGGTTTTTCTAACACCAATATTATAAAAAATATGTAAGTGTTGGTAGTCATGTCAGTCGTGTGTTTATACTTTAAAAAGAAGCAAAAGCCGTGAAGTTTAAACTGTCATGGCAAAAAAATGAGAAGCAAGACAATGGAAGGCAATGTTGGAAGCCTTTTAATCCGGTTCCAGTTTTTTGCTTTGATATGTTACTTCTGTTTGAGTCTCAGTTCCCTCACCTGGAGGATGGGCTTAATAACTTTCATCTTGCAGAGTAACTGTGAGATTTGGAGAAAACCCATCTGTTGCCGGGTACATAGTACCCCGTATGATTCAGCCCCTAAAAAAGACTAATCTAGAATAAGCATAAACTTTGTGTTACTTTGTTACTTTGTCACCAAATTGACTGTTATAGGATTTTATTTCAACTTTCATTATTACAATACCATTTATTTAAATAGAAACTCTGAAAAAAAAAAAAAAATAGAGACTCCGGATAGGTATGAGACAATCCTTGCCCTCACAAAACCATCACATTCCAAACCAGACTTTCTTTGGAACTGTCATCCAAGCTGGACGTTTGGGGAACAGGTCAGCTGAGATCTGAGGAGAGGTCGGTTTACCTTCTGGACCCCCTCTTTAAAATCTCCCAGATACTTCCGCCCCTTCCATACACTTCTCGGGCTTTTAAATGGACCCGAGAAATCTTTGGCACGAATTGTTACTGAGCTTTTCGGTAAAACCAAAAAAACGTTCTGAGATGCTGAATGCAAAGGCAGCAAAAGAGAAAGAGACGTAAGATTTAACTATTAACATGCCACCCTATTTCCAGAAAAATCATCACGCCTGACTGTAAGACTGGGTCTGGGAGGGAAAGCCGTAAAAACCGTCCGGGTAGTAAAACCTGGTCCTGGGGGCGAGGGACGCGTAGCGAGACAACTGCAGAGCGCCGGGCCGCACGCACCTCGCGAACGCACAGTCGAGGCCGGGCGTTTGCAGAGAGGCCCGGGGTCCGGGGCAGGGTCGCCGCGGGCAGCCTGGTACCAAGTGCACCTGGGGCCGGGGAGCAGCGGGTCCAGCAAACCAGCCCGCCCAGCCCCTGCACCCGGGAGGATTGGCAGCGCTACACCCTCAGATAAAGTAGCGTGCACGGCTCCAGAAAACACTCGTCCTTGTGGCCATTTTCGGTGGGGCTGCCAGGCGCCCTGTGCTCTGCGTCCCCGCGGTGGGACAAATGGGCTCCTGAGATGGGAAGTTACAGAACTTTCAGAACAAGGGGCCCGCGAGGCCGGGGCAAGGCGGGGTCAGCTGATCTGGGCCCGCAGGGTGCGGGTGGGGGAAGGGCAGAGGTGGTGTCGAGAGTCTCCCCGGGGATCCAGCCCCGCGCCCGGCCAGCGGCAGGGAGAAGGCGCGGAGACCGCGCTCCCCCTCCAGCGGCTGCTCGCTTTCCAGTACCGACGCGAGCCGGAGAGTTGCAGCCCCGCGAGGAGGGGCCGGCGCGCCGCGGCGGGAGGGGCGCCGGCGGGCTAGCAGCCCTCGGCCCCGCGGCGGGCGGCGCGGCTCCTCACTGCACCAACCTGCGGGCTCGGGCTGGCTGCGGGCCGCGGCCCCTCCCACCCGCACCCCACCCGCGCCGCCGCCGCCGCCGCCCCGGGCCGGCCCAGTCCCAGCCGCTGCCGCAAGGAGCCGGCGTGCGGGGCGCTTCGCTCGGACCGCAGCCGGCGGGGGCGTCGCGGCCACCGCGGCGTGCACCCGGGGCTCGGGCCTCCCCCGACCCCGCTCCCCTCCCTCCCTCCCTGCGTCCCTCTCGCCCCCGCCCCTTTCTCCCACCTCCCCCACCCCCTCCCTCCGCCCGCCGCGCTCCTCCCGCCCGGCAGCGCGCTCGGCTCCCCGCGCCCCCCGCGCCCGCTCGCTCCTCCTCCAGCCCCGGCCCGGCCTCCCGCGCGCCCTCCAGCCCGCTGCGCGCCGGCCGCCGCTTGGTCATGTCAGGATGGAGATCCGGCAGCACGAGTGGCTCTCGGCCTCCCCCCACGAGGGCTTCGAGCAGATGAGGCTCAAAAGCCACCCCAAGGAGCCCTCGCCGAGCCTGACCCGCGTGGGCGCGAACTTCTACAGCAGCGTCAAGCAGCAGGACTACAGCGCCAGCGTCTGGCTCCGGAGGAAAGACAAGCTGGAGCACGTAAGAGCGGCGCGCTCCCCGGGGCCTCGGCCCGGCACCTGCCCCGGAGGTGGCCGGAGCGCGCGCGGGGCGGCGGGGCCGGGCGCGGGGGACCCGGCAGGTGGCGCGACTCGGGGACGGGGCGGCCGCGTCCTCCTTCCGCCCGGGGCCTCTGTTCTGCACTTTCTTGCCGGGAAGGACCGGGCTGCGGGGAGGAGAGGGGAGGGGAGGTGCCTTTCCTGGCACTGCCTGCCCCCCCCCCCGCCCCCCGCCCCGCGCACCTCGACCTCCCCCACGGGCTTTTTTCAGGGTTCGTGGGCACCGCGTTCTCGGCGCGCCTCTGCGGGGTGAACGAGAAGGGGAACTGCCCCAGCGGGGCTCGGAGGAACGCGGCGTCGCACAGTGGTGCGCTCTAGAGGGGCCAGACGGTCTTTGGGGCTGTGTTACTTCGTCCAGAAACTACCCTCTAGCGAGTCCGCCCGGGAGGCGCCGCGGGCGACTCCGCCTGGGTCCGCGCACGAGCCGGGAGAGTTTTCTGCAGCCCGTGCTCCGGGATGAGCAGCTGGCGATCCTCGCTTGAGCCCAACTAGGGAGAGCTGTGCGCGTTGCGAGGAGGAGAAAGGGGAGCGGCCCGCCCAGCTTCGCGGGAACCGCCGCCCGGTGGGAGCTGGCGAGCCGGGACCTCCGCTGCGCAGAGTGCGCGCCTGGCGGGCAGCGCGTCCCAGGCGCCCGAGCTGAGCCCCTGGGGCTCGCCGTTCTGGAAGGGGAAAGTCCCTCTAAAGAGACGTTTAGTGGATCCCCAGTTTCCACCCTGACCCGCCAGCCTCTTCTTAAACCAGATGTTAAAATGAAACTAAGAGAATTATCTCAGGAGTGCAGCCCAGCTAGGCAGGGAGAGGATGCTGTTTCTCCCCGCGGAGCTGCACAGTCCAAATCGAGGCCGTTAATGGAATGTGGAGGTTTCCTTGCATTTGGGTCACATCTCCAATTATGACAGAAAGATAAGAAGGAGAACTTCGTAAGCTCACACATCTTCTGCCGCCCCACCGACCTCACTCTCATCTGCACCGCCCCCCGCCCCCCAAAGCGCTTCTCCTCCTCCCCTGGGTTTTGCAGCAACATCAAGTTTCCCAAGAAGCAGCGTGCAAAGGAGTGTTTTTCCCACAGTCTGAAAGGAAGGTCTGTGCCTTTTCTCTGAGGGCCTGATTAAGTCCCTTGAAAGCTGGAGTTTAAAGCTTCGAGTTGGGGAACAGGCTGTCTTGGGTGTAGAGAACCATTTCCGGGTATCAGAAGGATGTCTCAGATCCTTACCGCCATGGAAGTAGCTGATTCTAGGAGAACAAGTTGTCTGAAAGGCAGCAGAATCCACTTAAACATGCAAGTTCCGGAATTAGCATAGGGGACTGGTGGTTAATAGTTTCAAGAGCACCTTCCTGGAGTTTGGCTCTAGAAGCTGTGTCTGATGTCAGTACCAGGGAAACTGGTCTTGTCTTAGAGCAGTGGGAGAATAATCTACCTTTCCCTTTCCCTGAATATGTGTTCATTTGCACCTCATGCTTTTGGCTGCTCTGTTGCTTTTCTTCTCCAAGTGGAAACCAGTAGTGCACCCTTTTCTAGGTCTCCCCAAGTCTCGGACACTGCACAGCTTTGACTTCAATGCGTCCTCACTTTCACGTTTCCACTGAGTTTCAGGGCCTGCTGGGGTAGGCCATGGCAGCCTCACGGTTCTGGGTGAGTGTTGGATGCTCAGCCTCTCCTGAGGCTTACAGACCAAGAAAAGGAAAGTCTGCTTTTTTAGAAGCACCTGAGGTCTCCTGCTTTCTTCCTCATTCAGATGCTACTAAAGAGAGCATTGCATTAAAAAAAAAAAAAAAAAGTCACCTCATTTGTTATTTAAATCAACACAGCATTTTTGTTTGCTCTCTCAAATACATTTCATGAGACAGGTACTCTGCTTCTCATGATTTTTTTCTGTATCTGCTTTCAGTTAGAAAGGGGGCGTTTTGCTTCCAGTGAAATTTTTTGAGACATTCTCTTGCTCCTTTGGAGCATCTACCTTTTAAAGGAAAAATAGTATTTCTGAAAGTACAATGAAAAAATTAAATGAGCATAAAAATATAAATTTTATCTGAAGTCAAGCTTGGGGTATTTATAATAGATATCAGATGTTGGGGTACACCACATTTCAGGTAGTTTGATGTGAATTTCTGGTTAGATAGTTGAAATTTAAAAACCTGTAACACATGGAACCTAGTATATTTTTGCCATGCAAAGCTGAAAACGTGATGTTGACTGTATTATACATGGCGTGCTGAACCTATGTGGCACCACAGAGATTAGAATGATTGATGAGTGTCATATGAAATTCAAAGGTGATATAGGGTAGTTGAAAAAAATCCCTTTGATCTGTCTAATCAAATGGAGGGCCACCATTTTTTATTAGGTTAAAAAAATGAGTAATTATGATGGAGATCATATGCATGCAAACGGCCTACGTTCTTTTGCCGGTTTTTAAAAAACCAATCTAGAATTAAGGGCATAAGTAAGTTACGGCTTCAGATGACACACACTCAGTCATCGCAATAACGGAATTCCCTGGAATGAAATGTGGCGGCGTGTGGACTCTGTCCAGACTTCAGAGGCATTGCTCAGTCTGAGAGTCAATAACACGATGTAAAATGACAGCGAAGGAATATACTTCTACCCACTTAGCTAGAAGTGACGATAATTTATCTCTCCTTCTCTGGTTTAAAGGCTGCAGAACTGATCCCCTGGCCATACAAGTGAAAGTGACAAGAATTGGTCACGGATAGGTCAGAGCCCATCTTTGAATCTGTTTCCTGTCACTTGTTGGCCAGTACTTAAGATGAATGCCCATTAAGAAATAAATCCACACGAGGGGATTCTCACGTCCTTAAGTCATGATGAGAAGCTACAAAGGTTTGGTACCGTGAATTCGGCACTTTGAACTCTTTGAATTTCCACTTGGAAATTTCAGGAAAAAGTAAAATTGCTGGCCATGGGTAGACTGTCTTCTCATTAGCTACAAATAGTGCTCTCGGTTCTTAGAAACCTTTCCTTCTTATTCTGCCTCACTGTGCCCATGGCTGTGGACGATAAACAGTGGAATTCTCGGTTTGGAAGGTTCGGGAAACAACGGACGTCTTATATTCTGTAAGATCCTCTGTTACTTACCGTGTAACGTAAAAGTGAAGCATTATGGTCTAGCAAAGCAAGAAGAGCAGGGGGCCCTTCCTTCAACCCCCTGACCCACCCCTGTTCTGTCAGTCCTCCCTGGGGCTGGGTCACTTTAAGAGAAACCACGTAATACGATTTAACTGTCATCCCACAGGAGACTGTAGCATCAGTTATGCTGGTCTCACGGTTCATGGTGACATTATGCCCTGTTTGCTTTTTTTTTTTTTTTGGTACAAAGTAAGAGAGTTGCTGAGGCTACTCTGCTCAGTTGCTTGGTTTTATGCCAGTTGTGTGTGTAGAAGTTTCCTGATGCCACTTACAGAGCTAGGGAAGGCCTTATTTTCCCTTGTGCTTACTCAGCTAGCTCTTGTCTAAGTGTGGTTAAGACTGGGGCTCTGGTGAGACAGACCACCATCTCTTATTAATTCTGTGATCTCAGGCAAAGGACTCAGAGTCACCAGGAGGCACCTTCATATTCCTCCTTAAAGGAGACACAGGCTTGCTGGGATGATCCAGAGAGACTGTCCTTCCGTCCGTCGCAGAGACGCACAGCCCTTGACGATGTTGGGGGCGCCACACTGCAAAACAGTATTTCCCCTCCCACATTTCATCTGTGCGGGGTGCAGGTTCTCAGTCCGTTCAGACTGCTGTAACCAAATCCCGGAGATTGAGGGTCTTGTAAACACCCAACAGGGCTTTCTCACCACTCCGGAGATCTCAGATGAAGTCCAAGATCAAGGCTCCCGCCCATGCAGGGGCTAGCGAGGGGTGCTTCCTGTTTCCTAGATGGCTCTTTTTGCTCTCCCTCTCAGGGTAGAAAGGGGGAGGGAGCTCTCTGGAGATTCTGTAATAAGGCTATTCTCCTCATGATGAGGATTCCAGCTTCATGACCTAATCACCTCCTAGAGAGCCCACCTGCAAATGCCAGCCTGCAGGGGAGATGAGGTTCCAATGTATGACGTTTGTATGAACACAACCACGCAGTCTACAGCAGCGGGGGAGTTTCCTTCTGGGAGTTGCCCGGCCTGCCGGAAGCTCCATCCCGAAGCATGTTGTCAAGGCAGCTAAAGGGAAGATGGTAAATCATGTCAAGTCTCTCAGTGTTGCCACCCAGAAGGGAAACATCCATTTGGCTCCTATTTATTGACCAAAGACAGTTTCGAGGCCAAGGCTTGCTTCTGAGGAGGTGTGGAAGGGGGACCTGACAGAGACCCAGAAGAAGGGGAAAAAGGACACCCATGACCACCTTCTCAGCGTGACCACAACACATAAAGCACTTAGCACCGTGTGTGGCTTTGTTACGTGTTCTACTCGCGGTACCTAGAGATGCGGTTGCTTCTTAGATATTAGCTAGCGCTCTGGCTGAGCCCTTACTCTCCCCCCAGAGAGCTTCGGATGTCGCATTTGAGATCAGCCTGCCTGCGATGTAGGCCTGGACCCGGAGTATGTGGGTCCTTTGGCCGGCAAGGGCAGCTCACTATCCCAGGCATGTCATGCTGCATCTGCCTGGCTTCTAGTCTGTTCTCTGGGACCCCGATTGTGCCCTCCCCGACCATTCAGAGCCTGTCGCTTCTTGTTCCCACTCTGCAGGCTCTGCTAGCTGAGATGGGCTCCTTGCCCCGTCCCCAACCCCTGTTTTCCATCCCAGCTCAGTGCTAGTGGAATTGAATGGAGCAATATTTCATTTATCTGCATAATGGCTCAGAAAGTCTGTTTAAGATGGGAAGAGAAAGCAGAGGAGAGAATTTGTAAAGAGTAGAAGATAGAATCCTTAATGTTCATACTTGTAGAGAACCTTAATGTCTTGCTTGATTTAGGTGAGT